GTTGCCTGTTGTTATTAACTTGTCTAACTAATCTTAAAGAACTGAAGTCTATGGAATGGTTTCGTTGCAAAATATGATGGGCGACTGCTGATTTTTCAGGTCTTCCATATTTTAAGTGTGCTATGTGTTCCTTGTATCTCACTTTGATAGATCTTTTTGTCTGTCCATAATATTTTGCATCGCAGTCCTTACATTCAATTTCGTAAATTCCAGACTTTTCCGAATTCTCGACTTTGTCTTTTGGACTTCCCAAAAGGTTCTGCAGTGTATGACTTGTTTTAAAAACCACTTTGGAAAGATTTTCAAGGAACTAGGTATGAAGGTCTCACCTTTTAACGTGTCTCACCTTTTAACGTGTGATTCCTAACACAGGTTGGACGATAGCAAGTGAAAATCGATCGTTCAGACTAGGGCTTGAACCACCGACCATCACGGCAGTCAGTTCGAGTGAGTGAACTAAGCACCCACGTCGAACCGCCTGGCTACCGACCGCTACCTGGCTACCGACCGACGTGGATGACACTTTCGCATTCTCGAGACATGGAAGGGACAGACTGAACCTATTTCTAGACCATATAAATGCTCAACACGGATAGATTTTCTAGATGTACACGACTGACACATAAAATGTACCGAAAACCGACACATACGGACAGATATCTGCATCCACTTTCGAATCAACATCAAAGAAAAAAGCAGGGAATTATCAACACCCTGACGGAACGTACATGTAGAATATGAGAACCAGAACACCTACAAGAAGATTTGGAGCATCTTCAAATGGCTTTAAGATCGGATGAATACTGTGTAACCGAGATCAAAAAGGTCATGAGACTGAAGACTTCCACAAGTCAAAATATGGAGGAAACGCAAACGGTTGCACGTGCATTTCTACCGTAGATCCATAAGGATCCAAAAGAGCTGCGGAAATATGTCGTATACCATGCACCTGCGAAAAAGTTTATATCGGTCCAGCTCAGGGTCCATATCAGCTCGTTTTTCTTGCACCTCACTGAAAATAGTACAGCTTGGGATAACAACAAATTTCAGGCACCTACTTGATACTGTTTTTGAGAATCAGTACCACAGTACATAAAGAGATTGAGCTTACTAACATTAGAGCGATTGTCAGAAACGTAATAAAAATAAATAATTCATTTGATGGTCATCAAATGAACGAAACTCTTGAAAATATCAATTAACGTTGGGGCGCCCCATGTCAGATGATAGTATGAAAATTCTTTTCTTCTTTCTGAGCATCCAAGGAAATTTTTTATGACAAAGTATAAACAGATTTCGAATAATTCTGGAAATAAAAAAGCTACGGCAAAAATAGTTATTTCCTGATTTTCCCTCATATCTCTAGATCCAGAAAGGCTAAAGTCGATTCAATTGTACCCAAAAAAGACAACATTACCTTTTCTAACTCAACCTACTCTCTATCTTTACCCGTTTATGAGATTCTCATGCTCGGAGTCGAATTTGAATAACCCTGTTAACAGTAATGGAGGATATTCTAAGCAAAGTTTCGTAAGCATTCAATTCACTAAATGGCAATTAAAAAAACCGTGGCGTAAATAACGTAATTTGAAACGATGTTTCCATTTTCCAACTGAAATAACAATTATATTTTTCAGTGTTTCAACTTTTTCAGAAAATATTTAGCATAATTTTTGAGAAAGAAAGTTTTTGGCTTTCTACTATCAAGATATCTGCAGAGTAGTAGAAAGCCAAAAACTTTCTTTCCCAAAAATGAGTCACTCCTAAAAATATAACCCCTTCAATTCAAATTTAGCCATATATTTTATCAATATTCTTTTTTGGATTTCGGATTTTTTTGTCCACAATAAAAATCATTGAACAATCTTTAGCTTGTCCTCACTTTTCAAAGTGAGGATTTTGTAGCCTGAAGTGTCATTAGTTTTCTATCAAAAACTAAAATATTTCGACAACGGTAATTTTCTTTAATCTAGGAAATATCTTTGCACAAAGATGAGTCACAATCATCTCGGAATTCTAAAAATTTGTTATTGTACACGGGTGTACTATTTGAAAAAATAGACTAACTTCAGAATAGCCACCAATTTCGAAGTCTTTGCATAATGTTTAGAAAATACCAGTCCTGCAAAACCACGAGATGAAAGATAATGATGAGTTAATATATGTCTCATCTTTATTTTCTGTACAACTTTCATTTTGTTGGGATTCATTCGAGAACCGAGTCTAATTTTGAATACAAGGTATTTCCCAACTACGGTACAAAACTTCAGAGAATGATTCGTTAGGTCTTTTAAAAAAAAGGTTCTTATGAACATATGTTCGGATTAGCTTCCTTTCTCAGAAAAGGACGTTGAAATTTAAAAAAAAACTCATTTATAAAATATCATAAATATCCTTACACCGATTTGGTTAAAACTCGCAGTTATTTTAAGTAATAAGGCGCTTATTTAGAACTAACTAAATTGAAATTATTAGGACCAGTGGAGTCTCAGTGAGCATCACAGCCAACAATATTGGGAAAAAAGTACGCCACTGACTTGCTATTGTAGCTTTTATTTTTTTAGATTAATCAACTGATGATACAACTGTTTCGTCGCTGGTGTTTTCTTCATATCTAGCTTCGTTTTCGAGAAAAATAATTGAAGCCACTTTGCAAATCATGAACACCTGCTTTGGAGTGATTCCATCATGAATAATATTACTAACGCTGAAATAGCTGACATGCACTTCATTTATGGATTAGCAAATGGAAATGCGGAAGAAGCACGGAGAATTTACTAGGCGAGATATTTTAACAGAGTAATTCCATGTGCTTAAACATTAAGAACGCTACATGCAAGATTTTGTGAAGGTTAGGTTAGGTTAGGTCCAAAGTGAGTAGGTCTATTCGACCCTCCACCGCAACCCGTAAGGGTTTATTATGGCTCACACCTATTCACACTCGACCAAATAAACCCAGCTTCTTAACGAAGCCGATTAGTTTGTATGGAGAGTGGTCTTTCAGGTCAAATGGTAAGAGTACGGCTCTGCCGAACTCTAAATACCTTATTCGGATTCCAGCGGGGCAGGCACAAAGTATGTACTCTGCTGTTTCATCATTTTTCAAACAGAGGCGCGACAAGATTATGTGAAACTGGGAGTTTTAATTAAAATGCAGGTCGTGGAAGGCCAGAAACTGTAACAACGCCTGAATTAAAACAAGCTATACTTGATGCTATAGAACAAGATCCTTCAAATAGTATCAGAAAGATTACTCAGAGCTGGAAGTCAGCCCAAAAACCGTATGGACAAACCAAAAGCACTAAAAGAAAATTCTTGAGGCGCTCTTAGAGCAGTGCCTATGCGAAAGTAGCGATTCACATTGGATTTGAATCGCTGGAGATTAAATCCATTTGGAAAAACGTTCCCAGGAAGTTCATTCCACATGAACACAGTTCTCTAGATGAAAGAGTTCTTAAACAGTGAAATTCGAGGTATACTGAGTTGAACCAAGCTCTACGGCCTCGGGATTTTCACTCAAGATTATTGTTTTGCAGGTGGTTGATTCATACGACGGCACACAATAATAATCTTTCGGCAAATATTTCATTTACGTACGAAGCAAATTTTTCACGAGAAAGTAATTTTCAGCAATCATTTTCGCTGAACATTTGGGTAGGAATTATTGATGACTACCTAATTGGCTATTTTTTTCTACTGGCAAGATTAACAGGTGAATCCTATACGAACTTTTCACGAGATCATTTACCCATTTTGTTAAAAGAAGTGCCGGTACTTGTAAGAGGCAACATGTGGTTTATGTACGACGGGGCTCCAGCTCATTTTAGTGATCTTGCTCGTCAACATCTCGACATCACCTATGCTAATCGTTGGATTGGACCTGCAGGACCTCAAAATTGTCCAGCTCGCAGTCCTGATTGAATCCTCTAAACTTCTATTTATGGGGTCATCTGAAGACTCCTATTTATAAAACTCCTGAACTAGTGAAGTGAATGTCTTGAGGAATCGAATAATGAACAATTGCAATGTCATAAGGAATGCTCCGGGTACTTTTGAACGTGTCAGACAATCAATGATAAATTTATTGCAGTCATGTATTTTATCAGAAGATGGACATTTTGCTCCTTTACTTTGAGGACGAAATTGTTCATTATTTACTTTTGGTTTTTACTTAATGTTGTCCATGTGTAGTTTTTAGATTTGATTTTTTTTAGAAACCAAAGCTTGATAAACACAAACAACGAAAAAGTTGTATTTTCAGTTACTTAATTAAAAAAAACTACGGAAAAAAGTCAGTGGCGTTCTTTTTTTTCTTCTCAATATTGTTGGCTGTGGTGCCTACTAAGACGCCACTGGACCTGATAATTCAATCTAGTTCGTGCTAAATAAGCACCTTATTACATCAAACAACTGTAGAAAATTTCAACCAAATCGGTGTAAGGATATTTACGATATTTCATAAATACCGTTTTTTAAAGTTCAACCCCCTGTATCTCAGAAACGAATCAACTCCAGACATATTTTCATAGGACCTTTTTTAAAACGACCTAACGAATTACCCTCTTACGTAATTGAGAAACACCTTTTATATTCACACAAAGCTTTACTAAAACTATGCCAGGTTTAAAAAATGTGAAGATATACTGGGTGTGCAGGAATTTCAGAAATTTTCAAATTCGTTTATTCAGCTGAATAGAATATCACACAATATATGCCCGTTAGGAGTTATTACATTCAGTACATATATCATTCATTTGCGAATACAAATAGGTACCTAACAATCATTGTGTTCCTTCGATCAATGAGAATACCAACTAAGCATAGGATGCTTGTGTTTTGCACTTCTTAATGATCATCTAGAAAATATGCCTAGAGTTTATACAGTTCATGAATCGGACGAGTCAGACGAGTGATCAGTAAAAATTGATTTCAGATAAAAAGAGGTACAGAAATTTTTATGAGGTAAGTATTTGATAAATATGAATGAAGCTCATCTTTACCTGTCGAACGATTGGATATAAATAATTTCTTGAGAATCGGTTAGAGAACTCCTTAACTCTCAATTGCCTCCTGGAAATATCTTCATCACCATCGGGCGGATCAATTCCTTTCTCCAATAGATTCCTTGAAGAATGAAATGAATAAGTTTGATCTTTTACATAAAAAATTTCACGAACCTTATGTCGCTTATAGTATGCAGGCTCTTTTCGACAAATATTTTAAATTTCCTTTCAAAGACTGATTCACTCATGATATTTTTTTGGGAAGCACATTTGGAAATTGTAACAAACTTCTGGGAAACAGAAGAATGCGTTTTATTCATGCGTTGATCAACGAATGCCTGTCTGGTCCTATTTCTGAAGGTATTCACCGGGGTTACAGTGCAGGAATCATCGTCTATGTCAAGATTGTAGGCGTCTGCTGTTTTTTCTTGCATCACTTTTTCTTGCAGTTCTCTTCTTGCATTCTTTATTTTTAACTACGATAAACCAGAATATTTCATAATCGTATATTCTTTATTAAATATGTTTAAATATATTTAAAATATGTTTTTCCGTTAACCAGCGGTCGCATCCCTACGAACGACAACCCTCAGAAGTCGAAACTTGTGCGAGCTAAGGACTAACGAGGTCTTACCTAAATAAATGAATAAGTAGACATCACCAATGCTCAAGTGAAAATTAAATATAATTCTAAAGAAATGAACTTCAAACGTTCAAGCCAGTCTCGATATACCTACACAGTAGGTTGAATGGACTGACGCCTATCAGAAAACAACTACTCCCCTGGCTAATACCACGAAGGGTGTTGGATTATATCCGATAGTGTGCAAGATAGTGACCATCATCGACCTAAAGTCAATGATATTGTAATGAATCTGAAGCCGGCCCTGACCGATGTCCCAGTCAGCAAACGCATATCTCATCGCGGAACAGCGCGAAAGGTGTGGATGAGTCCCGAAATCCGCAGAGAGATCCGGTGCGTTCGTTGACGATATAAAAAGGTCGCTCTCCGTCCCGAGCAGTAGTTTGTACTTAGAAAGTGAATCGTGCGTTTAAAGAAAGGAATCTAACTGTGAAGATAAATTAAGCGTTAGTTACTAAGTGTTGCATATAAATTAGTTGTGATAGTGAAATATTGTTAAAAATAAATTTGTTTCAGACAGTTAATTCGTTAATTCGTTACTATATTCTACAATTGAAAATCGGAATTCTTTCAGAGTATTTCATTCCTCTTCCGAAGTTGGAGCGAACATCACAAAATGTCACTCCATCTAGTGGACGAGGTACTAACCAACTGCATATCCGTAATTTGCCCGATTCCTCTGAATAAGGAAGAAAAACTTTCTTATTAGTCAGTGGGTTATGCTTGAAGACTGACAATAGACAAATCTAAAGAAATGAACTTTAAACGTTCAGGCCAGTCTCGATCTATCTACACAGTAGGTTGAATGGATTGACGCCTATAGATTTGTCTATTGCCAGTCTTCAAGCATAGCACACTGACTAATAAGAGAGGTTTTCTTCCTTATTCAGAGAAATCCGGCGAATTACGGATATGCAGTTGGTTAGTACCTCGTCCACTAGATGGAGTGACATTTTGTGATGTTCGCTCCAATTTCGGAAGAGGAATGAAATACTCTGAAAGAATTCCGATTTTAAATTGTGGAATATCATTGACTTTAGGTCGATGATAGTCACTATCTTGCACTGACGAGTGGCTAATGAGCCCGAAACCGGTCTAGAAGTGTGGACTTTCCGAAATTAAAGGTCGACTCTTTCAGTTGTATTGCCAATTGCATATGCAGAAAATTTTCTGTGAAGATTCCTGCACTGACGCATGTCGGATAGAATGATGATAATATTGTTTATTATGCATGAAAATACATTTATACATAAAAGGGAAAGGGTTAGCCAAAGGCTATCTTCCACCTCTCCCAAAAATTAAACAGTGAGTATAAGAAAATAATTATAAACATACTTATTTACTATTCAACGAAAGTCATTTTTTGTGGAGAAAAAAAATCAGTTTTTTTTTGTGAAAAATACTTTGATTTTTACGCAGTAACTTATCGGGGTAAACTAAAAAGTTTGCCCTTCTACACTTGTATAAAGTTCTCCATTATAATTTTTATATTTTTTCAGACTGTGGAAGGTAACAATTACCCAAAAAAAAGGTCGATAAAAACTTATTTACTATCATAACAATGATAGAGAAGAGAAAAAAATAATACATCATATAGTTGCTAATAACTCTTAATATTCTTAACATTATTTTGGTCAATTTAACAATTTCATTGCTCTACCATACATTGAATTTTAATTTTTTTAAATTAGCACTGAGCAGTAAGCATCTGTGATTTTATTTCTTTCTTAAATTGATGAATATTATGATTTAAAAGGGGTAAAATTTTATTCAGATAAGAAGGGGCTATATAAGAAAAACATCCTTGAAATTTGAAAGTACGGTGCCTAGGTATGTTGAATGAGTTAATTCTCAAATTGACCATATGTATGTCAGAATGCCTGCTTAAAAAACTATATAAATACTAGGTGTTTCAGTTTGAAGCAACTTAAACAAAAACATTTTTATCAAATATTGGACTCTGTACCTCACATTCAGCTCAATCATTTTTAACAAAAATGGGGTGACATGTTCACCATATGGTATACAGCATACGAATCGCATGCAAACATTTTGTATACGTTGTAACTTCTGTTTGTTATATTGCGGCAAAAAATAGTAATACACCAAACAACAATACTCGGTATGGGGGTAAATAAGAGTTTTAACAAACCTGAGTTTCATTTCTTCTGATAACTGATACCCTACGTGGTATTAGCCAGGGGAGTAGTTGTTTTCTGATAGGCGTCAGTCCATTCGACCTTTTGTGTAGGTATATCGAGAATGGCTGAACGTAAAAAGTTCATTTCTTTAGATTTGTCTATTGCCAGTCTTCAAGCATATCCCACTGACTAATAAGTAAATATAATTCGTTAATCTATGAATAAATTTGAAAACAGTTTGATTTCAGTCCAACCCTTATTTGATAATGTTGTTTGTATGGGCGATTTCAACATTGATTTGTTGAAATTCAATAGCAGGCAAGGTCATGGCATCGGTTTTTTTAAATGCGCGCGGGATAATTTTCATTGACTATCTTAAAAAAAAGTAAAACTATCAACGGAGAATTTTTCTCAACGTTTGAGTGAATAAATCAAGCAAAAAATGGCCGCATTTGGCCAAGGAAAAAGTGTTGTTTCATCAAGACAATGCACCAGCTCACAAATTAATCATCGCAATGACCAAAATCAACGAATTAAAGTTTGAATTAACTTCAAGCGGACTCTCTTGCAAAGGAGGGTACTGCAAGCGACTTCATCGGACCAGAACCTGTCATTGGCATCGCTTTGGGCTTTGCCAAACAAACATTGAACACCTGGATGACAAGAAGATTTATGGAATTCTGGCAGAATCTTCCAAGATTGGCTCACTCCAAGGCGTTAATCCACCCTTCGAAGGTTGATACCAAACATTTGTTGGACTACAGTAGGGATGAACTACGATGTCTAACAGGCCTTCTTACAGGTCACTGCCACTTGAATCATCATATGCAGAGACTTGGACTGCCCCGCTGGGGATCGAATCAGGTTCTTAGAGTTCGCCAGATCCGTACTCTTACTATCTGACCTGAAAGACCACTCACCATACAGACTAATCGGCTTCGTTAAGAAACTGGGTTTATTTGGCAGAGTGTGAATAGTTGTGAGCCACAATAAACCCTTGCGGGTTGCGGTGGATGGTCGAATAGACCCACTCATTTTAGACCTTACCTACCCTAACCTAACTTCATGCACCATATTCGCCAGATTTAGCCTCATCGGATTATTTTCTGTTCCCAAACTTGGCTCAGTGGTCAAATATTTTCCAACGATGAAGAAGTTATGTCGGCAGTTAATGGTTATTTCTTATCATAAAAACGGTATCGAACTTAATGAACATCGCTGGGAAAAGTGTATGGAGCTGCAAAGATGATGTTGAAATTTAAATACATTTTTTTTTATTTTTGTGTTTTCTTTGTTGGGCCGGGTACTACTTCGAAATTAAATAATAAAATATGCCACCTGATTCACTGAGTTTGGAAACACAACTGTCGAAAGCTTTAATAGCGACCATAAAATGTAAATATTACGTGTAGATAATAGGAAACAAAAAAGGATCCGTGTTAGGAATCACACGTTAAAAGGTAAGACCTCGCTAATCCTTAGCTCGCACAAGTTTCGACTTTTGAGGGTTGTCGTTTGTAGGGGTGCGATAGCTGGTTAACGGAAAAATAGATCTTAAACAGATTTAAAGAGATATATTGGGCCCCAAATTGAACAGTATGGCATAAAGAAACTCATAGACGATTTGATGGAGTTTCAAAATATCATGAAAACCAAAACTGATATTAATACACTTTATAAAGCCCTGGTGAATTTTTTTGAAATATGTATTATATATAAATCAGCAAAACGAGAATTAACTCTTGACTCATGGTTTTCAGAAAACCTTGAAAAGCTGTAGAACATTCGTGGTTATCATTTCAGAAACGGAAAAAAAACATCCTGAGAATAAATATTTCAGTTAAATATGTCAATATCAAAATGAGCTGGTCAAGAAAGCTAAAAGAACTTTAAAGAAAGAACAATAAAAAAAGCTAAAAAATTCAACAAGTAAAAAAGATAAATGGAAGACAATAATTCAATCACTCAGTGATAAAAGTAATGAGTAATCCATAAAATTAATTGAAAATGATAGACGAAAAATCAAAGACCTTTTGGGAATCAGTAAAGAATTTAAAAAACTTTTCACACATTGGATAAAAACTTGTTTTAGAAATTTCTCAGATTTACAATGTTTTCCTGAAAATATGGTTTTATTATTGTTTCTTGAAAAGATTATAAAGATAATTGAGAAATTGGGACCAGAAAAGCTTCTTGTTTCGAAGGTATCGATGTGAAATTTATAAAAGTTGTCAAACCTGAAGTTACTTCTATTTTGATACTTTCAATTTGTAAATCTTCAAAAATCATCGTGGTACCGGATAAAGTGAAAATTGCACGAGTGACACTATTTACTGAAATGTTACAAAATCCGATATGAATAATTATAGGTATGAGTCCTCTCTGTCTTTTTGAAACTATTTGAAAAAATTATGAATTTTAGATCAAGTCAATATTTGGAAAAAAATATTTTATTCGAATATCAATATAGATTTCGTATTTCTAGAGATACAGAGAGAGCAACTGAAGATATCGCATCTTATATCAAACAACAAAATTAATGATGATCAAAAATATATGGTTTCATCACTGAATTTACTCAAAGCTTTTGATACTGTTGACCATTCAATTTTACAGAAAAAAAATAATAATATAGGCATCAGGGGTGAAAGTCATCGTTTTACGGTGAATCTGGCTTTGATTCTATTAAAGATGAAGTAATTTATGATTTCAATGATATATAATGTAATTGAATTGTGATTCACTTTATAAATTAACCATTTGTTACTTCATTCACCTAACCATTGTAATTAAGAAATACAGTCGTTTGAAATTCAGTGAATTCTCTGAGAAATATTACATTGATAATTATTATTACACGAGAAATCACCACTTCACATTTCATTCACAGGATACGGACAGGGCCACATTTGTTATATTCGCGGTTTTTCAGTTCACGTTTGTCCATCCTTTCAAATTCAAATTTATTGCATCCATATCTAATTAACAATAAATAGATGGGATTAGTTCACAAATTAAATTGTACCTGATGCTTATGTACAATTGAAATAACAAACATAAATAATGGTTAAAAAAGATTACATTTTTAAATGTTATGAAACATCAAGTCAAAAACCGAATTTGAATCGGGTATTTCAGTGATGCATACTCAAGCGCCTGTGAAAAAACACAAGACCATCACAAAGATAAAGCAAAATATAAAAAAGCATGAGAAGGTCATTACTGGAAGTCAATAACTACAAAAAAGTTGGAATTCACGAAATGCGTAAAAGCATCATTCGGCCAGTACTTTCTTCAATTTGCTCTCTCTCAATTCGAGGGGCAGAATGTTGAATAGTCGTATTCCAGTATCCTCTGGAGCTTTTTTTTTGCATGGAGTGACAAATTTTCTTCGGTAAAATATTTCTTTTGTTGCTGGTGTCATACATGTGAATATCGAAATGCCTTCTAAATCTGTTAGGTTCTTGAAAATGTGAGTCAACATATATAATATATAGAGGGCACCGTGAGAATTTTATTACTTTTGAAAGTGTCTCTGCATGATGCTCTATAAGAAATGCAGAAAATACGTCTAATAATACGTTTTTGCAACACAAACACTCTTTCTAGTTCGGACGCTTGACCCCACACAACGATACTATATGAAATAGAGAAGTACATCAGTGCATAGTAAACTTCAAGCATTTTTGCTTCACCTTCCACCATGTGAGTTTTTTTGTGTAAAAATAACATATCCAGTAAAAAAAGGAGAGGTGTGCTATTTTTGTTCATTATATACATCAAATGATCTATCTCATGAGAACTTTATCGAGAGTTTCAGAGAAATGGAATACAAACGAGAACAATGTTGGGTTCACTATTTCGATGTTTAATTTTGAATCATATTCTTGTAGGTTTTTGAAGGGTTCAACAATTCAGACAAACTCCACTCTCAAATCGTTAAATTCAGTACCTACAGTTATTTCGTAAATTGTACAGGTTTTTCAATGTTCCTCACCTTATTTTCCTGATAATTATCTAGTTCTATATTAACATTAGACCTACTGGTTGATGCACTCATGCGTTTCACAGAACTGCCCTCTGAAGATGTGTCGCTGTCTTCTTCAATACTCTGCGGGTGGGTAGAGAATCGCCCATAGTCAGTACTCCTTGGATTTAAATGGAAATCACCAGGAAATTCACGTTCTAATCTGTTTTTGGTATTCTGAACTTTTCTCAGGAAATTGAGATCATCCAAAAGACTCCCCTGAAAATTATAAACAATTATTTTGAATTAAAAAGAAATTTTTCAATTCTCGAGTACTTCATAACAATATCGTGTTGATATCTAACTATTCAAAATCAGCACCAGTTTCATTGCACGAATTATTGATTCAGCCTGTGTTATGAGATTCTGCGAATATTGCTCCCATTCAGTTTTCTTTTTTTTTCTTGAAAATTATAAAAGATAATAAATAATAGTTGAAAAAACAGAAAAACATGCTTCGATAGCAACATAAAATAAAAAATAATTCGAAACTAATTTGAGATTGTGTTCAATATCGATAATAAGTCCTATGGCTTAATGTAACTAGTGACTTTTAATAACTCTGAAATTAGAATAAATCTATTCGCAAAAAAATTAATTTGGTTGTAAAAAAACGTGGGATGTTATTAGCTTCACTTGTATGTTATATGTTTGTTCGTTTGTAACCGCCACCTGGGACTCGATTTTGACAGGTGTATTTTAAACTTGGTACATTCATCAAGAATCGATGACAATACAATAATTTCATATGTTTATCTCATTATTCCTCAAACAGTATCTGTGTGAGAGCAAGTGAGACAACCATACTGTCTGTGCATGCGTATATATTTTATGCTAAAACAAATGGGCTTGAAATAGCAATCCAAACTGAAAAGTGGAAATTAAATAATAAATCAAAAAACTATAAAAAAAATACGCTTCAACAGCAACACAAACTATAAAATAAAAAATAATTCGAAACTAATTCAAGATTGTGTTCAACATCGATAATAAGCCCTATGACTTAATGTAACTAGTGACTTTTAATAACTCTGAAATTAGAATAAATCTATTCGCAAAAAAATTAATTTGGTTGTAAAAAAACGTGGGATGCTTTAAATTATATTTTAATTATGGCTCCAATTTAACAAACAGTTCCTATCCAAGTATTTATTGCAATGGAAATTTAGCACCACGCGCTTTTTGACAAAAAAACATTTTTTTTGTAAATTCTGATTTCAGACTTATCAAAAGTTATTAGTTACATCAAGTCATAAGATATTATCTTGAATTAGTTTCGAATTATTTTTTATTTTGTGTTGCTATTAAAGCGTGTTTTTTTTATTTTCTCAAACTATTATTTATTTTCCACTTTTCAGTTTGGCTTGCTATTTCAAGTCCATTTGTTTTAATATAAAATATATACACATGCGTAAACAGTGTGATTGTCTTACTTGCTTTCACACAGAGACTGTGTGAGGAAATTATTTAATCCGGGCGATCCTGATCAGTATAATGAGATATACACTTTATGAAATTATTGTATTGTCACCGATTATTGTATCAAGATGAAGTAGTAGAAAGCCAAAACCTTTCTTTCCCAAACGAATGTTTGGAATACGAACTGAGTAGAGAAAAGTATCTTCTCTATAATTTAGTGTTCATATAAAAGTATTTGTTTCGAAAGATTTTTTTTTCTTTCGTGTAATTCAATGTTTATATGAAAGTAGCTGTTTCAGGAGGACTTTCTTCCAGTTTGTGTCTGAAAGTTACTTCTCTGCATGATCTACACATCCATGTATAGAGTTACTTATTTTCAAATTGATTTCTTCCTTCCTTATTTTGGAAGATTCCCATATTTTTTGTATCAAGATGGAGTAGTAGAAAGCCAAAAACGTTCTTTCTAAAAAATTAATCACTTCTAAAGATATAACCCCTTCAATTAAAATACATATGTCCGTCAAATACATATGTTAGTCAAAATCGAGTCCAAAGGAGTAAAGCTAATAAAAGCATGTTAATATAATAGATAATAAAAGGTTTATAACACAAAATAACAACAAAAATTATGGTATGGTAATTTTTTGAGTTACTATGACTGTCTCATTTTAAATTTTACAATAAAAATTGCAATTGAATACTCTTTCACTTTTTATTATCTAATGACGAAAGGTTGTCATCAAAAACCGAAAAAAATATACCTCAAATATAGAATTATGAATGAATAAATATATTGTGGGCACCGAACAATTTTCTTATTAAAATTTTTGCAATAAAAATTTCACTTTTTTTATTACTTAGTTGATATTAAATGAATTAATAGTCTAACAATGAAAATTTTTTCAGGATCAACTCATATACCTCATAAAAATAAAAAATTATTTGTCTGTATACACTATGTTTTTCTTTCGGCAAATATTTTTTTCTGTTCAAAGTTCCTTTTTTCATAAAAGTAATGAAAAATGATGGCATTGAATTTATGTGGAGCTTGATCTCTATTAGAATATTTTTTCATATCTACTCGTTTTTCTTTTTTGTGGGGACCTCTGATCTAGCACTTTAGGATTTCCACGTGTATTTTTATCCCATAATTTGAGACTAATTGTATACAGTTTTACCACATTTTTTGCACTTCATTCACAAAAATATCAGAGAAAAAAATTATTGATCAGTTCTGTTGTTTTATTCTGTTTTTTTATTCAATGGGTTTGATTAGCTATACCGTTAACTGGGAAAACCAAACAGGAATCCTTCACTTTCTGGAAGTTACGAACTTGCGTTCTTCAGCCCTGTTGAACAATTTCTTGTTTCTCGTTTAAACTGAATATTTGGGTGATTACCTCAGGCACACATGGTGAGAACGAACATACTGAAAACTTAACATCCACCCCTAATTTTCTACTTGTTTTTTTTTCATTCCATTGGTTTGGCTAGATTTACTATTGAGCTGGCAAAACCGAATAAATATTCTTGTCCTTTTGGCAATTTTGAATAATTATAGGTTCATATAAGGCTTCTTCATTAACTTAGGAACACACAACGGAAGCAAAAATATTCTTCAAGTATATAAGAGATGGAAAAAAGTACAGAAACACTTTGAATATTAGGTTGTTTCGAAAGTTCTGTTTGTTTTTATGAGTCTACTTCAAACTGTAATATGTATCTCAGTGAATCACTTAAATGGAATGAATAAAAACACTTTTGTCTAATTTCCATTAGTTAATTTTATTTATACGACCGGTTTTGGGTTTAACCCCATTATCAAGTATAAAACTCATTTTATTAAAGTAATCATGATGATTTTGAGCAATCATCAATATGACTTTCGGATAAAGATCAGCAGGTGACCTTCTATCGTATGTCACCCATATTTGGAACAACGCAATCGAGAAACATGGAGAATCAAGCAATGTAATGCTTGATATTTCTAAGTCCTTTGACCGTATGTGACATGGGGGTTTGCTGGCCAAACTTCGATGCTATGGCTTTTTGGATCATATCTGTATATGGCTCTCCAGCTTCCTGAAAAAACATTCCTTGCGAGTGGCCGTCGAATACTTTTACCATCAACGCTGGTGTTCTCCAGGGATCCATAATGAAGTGATTTCGAATTGGGGTGGAAGTAATCAGGTTAAATTCAATGCCACAAAACCCCAGACATCGATTTTCTCCAAAAAGATAAATGTTGGGGGTTGAAATGGACACCAATATGTCTTGGCACAATCATGTCGCTGGAATTGCAAAGGCTGCTTCTCAAAAGCTTGGAACACTGTTCCGAATCAAAAAACTGTACACATCTCAGAAACTTTTGATGCTTAATAAAGCTCAGATCATACCTTCTTTGGAGTATTGTTCTCATTATGCATCTCCGCCCCTAAGCATCCCCTGAAGATGCTGGATTGCATCCAGAAAAGAACCATCCGCCTGACTGGAGACACGAACATCACTGGAACATCACTTCAACGGGAAATGTTCAAGTGACTTGGGACATTTGATTTCACCAAGAGCGGTACATATCAGAAATAAGCGACGGACTGTGGCTTCTCATCGTTTTGAGGTTCAACTCAGTATACTTCGAACTTCACTGTTCAAGAACTCTCATTTGGAGAACTGCGTTCATTTGGAATAAACTTCCTGAGAACGTTCAATGGATTCAATCTCCAGCGATCAAATGCAATGTGAATCGCTACTTTCGCACATATAGCGCTTGTGTTTCGTCCTTAAAAAAATTATTCGAAATTAGCGGCATTTAAATCAGTGCATATTTGCCAATGCAGCAAAAGTAGATTCATTCCATCAGTAGAAAAATCGTTTGCTTGGCATCAGATGGAGTCGATGAAGGCCGTTTTTTGCCTGGTCCTGATTGGCGAAAGTTCTACCGGTGAGAAAGTTATCGAAGTATTCAAAAAGATGGTAGTCGGTTGACGAGATGTCTGGAATTGTTCTTTTACTGTTTCAGTTATGAGGACATCGGAGTCATTATCAGCTTTTTATTAAAATGACGTCGAAATGAACCCGGCCTTGAAAGTTTTTGCGAGGAACTGTTGTTCATTTGTTAGAATTGACAAAAAATCGTCAAAGATTAAAGAAAGGAGTACTTCTTCAGAGTGTTATGATTTAATATTATAGTCAGTCAGTCATAGAAAAATATAACCCTTTCAATTACAGAATGTTTGTTGTCGTATTAGTTTTGAAGGCATTTCAAAGACCACGATTCATTTAAGAGTGCATATTTGCAATGGCGGCTCGTAGGAAAAAAAAATGTGTGTGAATAATTTCTGTAGAGAATTAAATTAACTAATCTATTTTCAGTTGACAGTTTTCAGCATTGGTACATGGAATGGTTGGGAACTCTTGATTTCATTTATAACAGTTCATTTAAGAGATGTACCAATCTTCAGTTCTATGCGAGTTAATGTATGCTAAACTTTTTTCTGTTCATTTTGAATGGTCTATAAGTAAATTCCATTATATATTACGAAATAAATATTCCTGGAAAGTGTTGAATTATAGCATTTACTATGTACACTTTCTAGATAATATTTATCGGCTTTCAAGTGACTGTTTAGAGGAAAAATGGATTTCCAGTTTGACTTTGTGTATCTTTGAGACATTCATTGATATACTTTCCTTGCAAATTACCATTTGATAAAATCAAATACTCAAAATGGAAATCTGAAAATTTCATTAACACCTTTCAATCTCATCATATTTTGTTAGTTAGGTTTCTCTCTAATTCAAGCAAATACCGAAGCTTATTGAACTCACCTGTCTAATATCACAAAATTTGTTCATAACAAACTATTACGGTATCTTACACTCCCAATAAGAGTCAAATCGATTATGAAAGGTTGTGAAACTATTAACAAAACAACAAAAATTAACTGACATCAGTCTGAGACTCAGTCATGGCAACCCTCAGTTTGTTTGTTGTCATCGCATAAAAAGAGCAGATGGTCGTTGCCAAGCAACCATGAATTCGAAGGAAATGTCATTACATAAACGAAGGTGTACGGATGGTCAGTTCGAGGAAGAGAGATAAAGAGTGCCAATGTTGAAGAAATAGTTGTGTAGAAGATTCAACAAAAGTTGACAATAATTTAAGTGATATTTTAATTATTTTATTCTAGTATTATTTTCAAGAGACTAATGTGTAAAGTCGATAGTTTCAAGGTTAGTATTTAAAGAGTACTAATTTTTCGGTTCACATTTCAATTATCCGTACGTATATTCCAGGTATTTTTTGGGGCAATTATCCGGTATTGAGAGTACGATAGGATAGCATGAGACACATAAGAATATCAAAGAGTTCCATACTTCAAAATCGAAAAGTACCCTTGAACAATATCATACTGCCACCTCTTTCACCACCCTTTTCTGAAAGCAATGAGACATTAATAGAAAAAGTAATGGTAAGTCATATTTTCCAAGAATCTGATTTTATTTTAAAACAGAAAAATCAGAATGAATTTGTCATTCAAAGATTTGGGTACCTTAGATAAATGAAGAGTGCAGCGAAGACATACATAATTTTTCAACTTCAGCTGTATGTATGTTTGTTTGTAACTCTCCTTTTCATTTCATATCGGGATCTGTATTTGATAGAATTATCGACATTATTGCTTGATCTATTCGCGGGCAGATGGCGCTGTACGTAGCCTCCTTGATATAATTCGAACTCACTCTACATGTATTTTTTTCATTTGAAAAAAGTATTTTTTATTAACATTAACACGCTTTATATTAGCTTCACATGTATGTATGTTTGTTTTTGTAACTCTTCTTTCCCGTTTGAATGCTCGGGATTTGTATTTGACAGAATTATCGAAATTATTGATTGATCTTCTCGTGGGCAGATGGCGGTGTACGAAACCTCCTTGATATATCGACATTATTGCTTGATTTATTCGCGGGCAGATGGCGCTGTACGTAACCTCCTTGATATATAATTGTTGAAAAAGCATATGTTGCAAACAAATTATTTATACCGGGTAGTTTTGGTATCAATGATCTAACATTCAAATGACCAATTTTAAAATGATTTAGCATATTTATTATTTTTCAAATATTTTTTTTTAAATATTTCAATTTATTTATCAGTTAATGTATATTTCTAGTTGATCTCAAAGATCTAGCTAGTTTGATATTTTTTTGTTTGTTTGGATCCAATAAGTCCTCAGCAGCACGTTTGTTTGTATCTTCCCTGCTTCACTTTCTGTTTCCGTTGGGTTATTCAATCCTCTCTGCAGATTTTTATAGGTGTAGATGATATTGTCCACTATGAGAGAGTTTCCTTTCATCTTTGCCTCGAGTCCATTACCCCGCGCAGCCTTCTGCTGGGAGACAAGGAACTTTTTCAGCTGGTAATCCTCTTGTATGTAGTCCCCTTCAGCTTTTTAGCGTTGGTGAGAACGTCGGTCCTCAGTCTATTGTGGATACATTCAACAACAACTGGTCTATTTCTGACGGGTGTGAAGTTATCCACATCCACAACGTACACTGAGAAAAAAATATCGCATTATCATTTTTTCCTTTACCGACTCTGCACTCCTACCATTTTTCAATATGATACGCTTATTGACTAAATTAGTAAAAAAACAGAACCGTCTTAGTTTATTAAACTGTCTGAAGGGGTGAAAATAGGGTGTAAATATTTAAAAAAAAAGGTAACATGNTGTGTGTGTGTGTGATGAATTCAAATGGCGTTGGTATAACCAATTTGCCAGTCTATTTCAATATGTAAAATTTCTACAATATTTTGATATTTTCAAGATTCATAATACAATCTTCCTTATTTCTGTAGGTTAGTATTTTATGAGTCTTAATAAGAGTTTTTTTTCTCCTCCTCTTACTATTTTATTCTTTTTTTTATTTTTTTTTTTCAACTTTTCTGTTTCGTATACTTTTCTGAGTTAAACAAAAAAGTGTCATGAACAGATTGTCACTGCAATTGTGCCGGAAAGTGCCGGAAAACTAACTTTCTTTGTACAGGCCCCAACTTTTTCATTTAAAGAGATAGACCTATGTTTCTTAGGAGAAGTTTATTTATTTTTCCTTTTCCGCAAAAATCTTGACTAATTTTTAAAGAAAATTCAGTACCTCTCAAAAACGTGCTTAGTTACAATTTTTCTGTAGGTTCAATAGTACAGGAAATCACGAAGAATACAGAAAAACTCTAATTTTATATATAATTCCGATACTAGTGAAGATATTGAATGTTTCTATATGAGCACTTCTTCAAAGAGATGTGAAAATTATCAGAACATTTTTTTAAATTACAGTGCTTCAGGGTGAATCATGGCAAATTATTCAATTTTTTTTTATTGATTACATGCAACGCAATACATTCGGGATGTATTGTCTGTGTATGGAATTTAACAAAAAATATGTTTCGTCACCCATCAACAAATGGATAATGGGAACCATAGACCATATGGCGAAAGAATAATAGTTTTCTTACTGCGTGCATTTCTCCTTGACTTATTAATCTACGATATACAGATTTTCTAGTCTTAATTTTTTGATAATATTGATTGGTCCTTTGAAAATGCTCAAAAAAATGTCTTCTAAGCTTCATTATGAGCACATACGTATAAATGAAACTGAAAACAAAGCACGAGATATTTTTTTTTGGGCAGGCAAGTTGAAAGAAGTGAAAATAATAATATAAATAAACCAAAGGACGCCTTACTATTTCGTGAATTTTCAAATTTACAATGGGAAAAACTGGTATCATTTTCCAAAATATCATCAACATAAATAATTATAATTCCAAAAATGCACTGTTAAAAATGTATGTAAAATTACAAATGTATTACAAAACAAATGACTAGTTAAATTAGAAATCAAAGTGTTGCCAATACAATATTCAACACGATTTGAGTAATTCACCAAAAAATATTTGGAATCCTACTAAACTGAGTCGTGATTTTACAATCATCATCAATTAACCCTAAACTTATTGTAATTTTACCAAACCGTAAGTCAGTTCCCAAAGAAAGTTTTTCGAATTCACAAATATCATTTGTGAATTGATTCACTTTAATTTTTTGTGAAATTATATAAAAAAAGTTGGAATTGGAACTAAAATGAAGTCATAAAATTTTACAAAAACTTTTAGTATTTTTAAAATTTGCTTTGTAACTGGGCCAATAGTTTCCATTTTTCTCACACGTATTGTAATTATACTGAATCGTTATTAAATTTTTCATAAAAAGTTTTCGAAATGTACAAATATTATTTGTAAATTGAATCACTTAAATTTTTTGTAAATTAATAAAATATTTCTGTAACTGGAATAACTATGAAGTCATCAAAATTTTACAAATACTTTCAGTATTTTAACAACTTTTGTTTGCAAATAATATAGTGCTTTGTAATTTGA